CTGCTCTCCAGTGTCGCTAGTGAAAACCAACACCAGTTTCAGGGCATTAAACAAAATTTATTGATTGCATTTTCCCACCCACTAAAACGTTAATAAGCATTAAACCTCAAACTCCTGGCCCTGCTTCCTCCCTCTAGCCTCTCTCTCCATAAAAAGGGTCAAACTCTTCTATATGGAGATTAGGACTTAATGTTTGGTATTTGTTTATGAGCCTATCAATTGCCTCTATTTCGGGGGGTGGGGGGGGGGAGAAGCACATCTGAAAAAAACTTACTCGTACTTGGATTAAGAGAGGGCAAAGGTTTAGGGTACTTTGGGATTTTTTTCCCAGCTGATTGTGGGCTTTAGATATATTACAGATCATGTTTAGGTGAACAAAAATAAGTAAATAGTCTCCTTTTCGTAAGTTTCCCTAGAGTTACATAAAATAGTCTTTTTCATGGATTCCTATTTCTCACTAACAAGGCACTGAGCTTCAAGTTTTCTCTGCTAGCTACTTTCAACCACGCAAAAGGAAAACAGTAATAGTTTGGGGGCCGCCCCCCCGTCTGCACACTCAGTAAAAAAAAAAAAACAAAGGCCAAACATTTGAAATGCAAAGGTCAGTGATTAAGCCCAGAAATCCATATCTAGGCATCAAAATGAATGGCCAGATTTTAAGAGTGCTTAAGTGATTCAAATGCAGAACCTGAACTGGTTCAGCATCTTTCAAAACCAGGCCTGCTGTTTGAATGCCTAAAGTGAGATTTCGGTGCCAGGTACCGGAGTTTGCAAAGTCTAACAGTAATCTCCTTTAGTGAAGTCTGATCCATTTTAATCTAAAGTTACGAATCACAAATGAAGATTTTACTGACTGGAAAGCAAATCTAACTAAAGCTGCAACATTTTGTCCACGTGCTAAACTCTTCTCTTATCCTTCAGCATTAATAGACTTTTGGGAGACTGCAAAAGAAAAGTGGATGTCAAAAATTCTTTTATTTCTTTTCTTTAAAAAAGATTGCTAAAGGGATTAGACACAGCTTTGAGTTCACTGCTCTGTTAAATCAACCTTACAATATTTTTTCAGCTTGTTTGACTTGCTGTTTCTGTATACATTCGTATTTTCACCTTTCTGCATTCAAATCCCACGCTAACGTTCGTTCTATGCCTCTCACAGGAAACTTAGTCAGTTCTTTATTTGTATTAAGTCTATGGAGTTATAGAAAACAGACTTGGAAAACAATCCCTAAATTAGCAGGACTTACTGGCTTACATGCACACACACTCTCTCATACCATCCTACCCAAATGTGGCATTTTATCATTTCCAGCAGCAAGAGCAGGGCATCAGGTTCAACAGAACGGATCTTTTAATGGCCTCGCGTAACCGTATCTATTACAGTGGGTTTCTAACTGCACATAATAAATTAAGAGAGAGTTCAAGGAAGTCATGCGTGTCTCTGTTCCCACTCCCTTAAAGCAGCTTTAATGCTTCCAAATAGCCAGCTTCCACAAACAGTACCGCAGCAGGCTACGGAACTGCCAGAATTAGGTTGAACACCTCCATACCAAGCCACTTCAGCACTTCCATGAGGAAACGCACTTTCTGTGCAGGGTCGTTTCCCATGTCCCGCAGCCAACATGGGCTCGCTCTGCCTGTGCGATCCAGGGGCTGTTGTACCCACGCTTCCCGACACCTGCTTCACCCTCCCCAGTCTCCTGGCTTTCCCAGCTTGGCCGTTCCTTTCCTCACCAGATCAACCTCTCCAACCTCCAGCCCCCGCTACCCAAACTGCTGATGAAGTGCAGAAGAGCCTCTCCCCGTTCCCTGCTTCATGAACTTGTCGCTCCTCTTCCACAGCCAGAAGATGTGGAAAAAAGAGCCGAGCCGCCATGCAAGGGCTGGACCCATCTCAAAGTCAGGTGTCGAGGTCAAGCCGTAGCTGGGCTGCCAGGATGGGAAAGGGGTGGATGGGTGGGATGAACCATCATGACGTGCAACCTCCCTGCAGACCTGTTTCTTTGCACAGATGTAAGCAGAGCAAGAGCTGTCCCCTGGATGGCAGTGAGACCATGGAGCAGTTCAGACCCTGCTCCCTGTAAAGGCACTGCACAGAGGACGTCTAAAGCTCTCACTCAACTGACGATAACGACAGGCCAGGTCCACCTCCCCGGTTCAGATCCTGAATCTGCCCAGCATCACCCGCCAACCGTGCCATAAGCCTGCTATATCTCCAGGGCGGCCACCAGAGAGAGGCACCAACCTGGTGGTGGGGGGAAATTTTGCTCCACGGAAAAGGTTTGACGCTTTTCATCCCTGCTTTCTTCTTCCCACGAAAAAAACGGCAACTCCCAAGTGACCCTCGCACGGACAACTACTGGGTTTCTAGGCGGGCCATGTGTCTCACTGCCAGCTGCAACCGGCCACAGGAGACCTCGATGGCAGGACACTGCCGCCCTCTCCGACCCGCTGCCGCTTGGTGGGGCTGTGAAACCTGTGGTCCCGGCCCCTGCTCCTCGCCAGTGCAGCACAGGCGACCAAACCAGGGTCTTCTCCTCTTTGTCCCCAGACATTTTGCGTCACTGTACAGTGTCCGAACGGTGCCTCCCGCTCATCACAGAAATGGCCACGTTCGAGTGCCGGGTAAAGCGACCCCTGCAAAAGACTGCACAGCTTGTCTAAACCTAATTTGCTATTCACTGGGGGTGGAGGAACGGGAGGGGAAGAAAATCTCTTCTTTAAACATTTACGCATATTTGAAAGTACCTGAAAAGCTTTTGGGAACTTTGTGCCAGGACTAACACATTCCAGCTACAAGATCACCTTATGCAAAATGTGTAGATGGCCCCTTGCAGGAAGGATTTGCATTTTGCCACTGCGCAGGGTGGTAACAGCCAATATCAGACTGGTGGGCCAGGTTATTATGGGCCCCATGACAGTGCCCGGACCTCCCTCCACAAAGACTTTCTTGACTGACCTTCTTGATCAAGAAGCCCACCACCTTCTCATCCAGACGCCTTCTCAAATCCCACAACCGCCAGCACAACTATAAATAAAATGAGGCAGAAATCCTGTTTCTTCACTAAATAATACACAGGTTGGAGTCACGGTACAACTCAATAAACACTTTCAAGGACTTACTTTCTTTTTTGTCTGGGCTGTGTGTGGGTGGTTAAGCAGGGGGCAGATTTCAAAACATTTATGGGGCACGAGGTTTGAGCTTTGGGTTTCCTTTACCTCCTTGTCTAAATAACGGCAACACTAACTGAACCACTGGCCAAAAGAAACTTAAGCGTGATCCTTTCTTCCATACCCATGGGGTTCCTGTTTGCTCCTGCTGCTCTCTCTTCTCCGTATCTTGCTGTCTGCAATGTGGGCAAGGTGCTGCTGTCGACGTGCCCTGCTCCAAGATACGCAAGGCTAAATCAGAGAAAGGCTGAGCGGGAGACACTCACAACAAAGCCATCTGACTTGTCCTCTCACAGCAATCGCCCCCACAAAAGCTCAGGATTTATACTGCATTTATTGAAACCCTACAGTAATTACAGCGTACCCCAGCTGGGCAGGGAGTAGGGGCTGCAGGAAGGTGAGGAGGAGACGACAGATGAGATATCTGTCTGATGAGGTATCTTCAAGGACAACTCTTCCCGTAGCGGCTTACAGCCCTTGTTCCCAAGCCAGTGAAATCAGGAGTCTGGAAAATCTGCAGCTTATTTTTATGCTTAATTACAGATTTCAAGTGCCTGACAAGAAGCACTCACTCCGTATCGTTTTTGGCCCAGGTGCCTTTGGGCTCAGCTGGAACAAGCACTCTCCCTCCAGTCATCACTCACTACTTCACACGCGCTGAACTTAGAAGAAGGTGGGTGACGGATCTGTAGCAAGTTTGGGAAGGGATGCAGAGAGGACACCATCTGCCGTTCCTTACTTTTTTCTCCTCTTTCCCCCTTTTTTTTTTTAATTAATCAATTAGCGAACTGGGAAGCAGAGCTTTCTCTGCAGGACCCTTTTTTAGAGCAGAGCAAGGGGCACCGGAGGGCTGTGCAGGGCTAAGTGCCGCCCACGGAGCGTGAAGCACCATTAAGGCGGGTTAGCGGGAGATCTGGGCTCCCAGCCCTGCGGCTCATCTCACCCAAGCACATGGGCTCCTGGGAACCGACTGACCACACTTTGCAAGAAAGAGGCTTTCTGAGTTTTCCTTGGGAAAAAAAAATGCTTTCATGAAAAGCTGCGAAATCATGCATAGCACAGCAGCCATAAAAATGAATGCATTTTTTATTTCATTTTGCAAGTGGTCCCCTTGCTCCAGCTGCATTCATTTGCAGTTTATTTCTTACACGGTAAATACCAGCTAAGTTATGCACCTCCATTTAC